AATTTTGTCTTCTTAAATTACTCTCTATGAGTTGAACAGAAAGGAATTATGGTGGAGGAAGGAATATACAAAAATAAAAGGATATTGTGAGCTACTGCATCACCACATATACAACAGTAAAGTACTTTACAAGCACTTAGAGAATCAAACTTACAAAAATAAAAATATGACACATCCTTATGGATTTCCACCACTTATAAGTTCTCTTCTTCCTTCTCTAACCTTCAGACACCTTTCAATCCCATCCTCAGGTCACAATTCACATGGTAGGATACTTTGCTCATTTTGATGGCCATTACAATATCTGAAAAAGAATTAGTGCCTCCCAAGACTTAAAAAATCTAATGGTTATAGAGCTTTAGGGGAGATATTCAGAACAGATCAATTTGTGAGTGATCAGGTGATCCTCAGGGAGCAGACTTTATCTGGCAGTAAAAATCTGAATATCCCACAAGAAGATCCATCCTGCCCTATAAAGCATTCCCCCATCTCCACAGAGGCACAGCTCTGTGCATGTTTGATACACACAGAAAGTGCCTCGTGAGCCTGGGGAATGCTGGTGCTCACAGACTTCAGCAGGACTGAATGACTGTGATGGAGGATGGGTCTGATTTTGTTTCAGCTCTAAAAAAGGCAAAGATGCCTTCTCCTATAGGAAAAGAGGCAGGATTAAAACCACAATGCCTAAATATCCTAGCTCACACTGTTCACACACAGAACCATTCACCTCTATGTCAGACTCACGCAGTCTTTAGTCTTCGGTTTGCTCTACAAAGTCTTTTTTGCACATCAGCCTTCTGGTGACCTTTCCCATTTTTTTTAAGTCACACTCAACATAAATAGTAAATAGCATTCACTTCTCTGACCAGCAGCTCACTCAAACACTGCTTTCAACACCCAAACACCATTTCAACAGTCTCAGAAAGTTTGCACCCAGGGTGCAAATCTGTCTGTATTTCACATTGAGGAAAGTAGAGCTGGCTTAGGAAGGAAAAAAAAAAAAAAAAGAAAAGGGCAGAAACTAAAGACAAGCAGTAAACTTTTGGTCAAAGTTGTTCTCTGCAGTTTGTGCAATGTATTCCACAGCTTCTGAAAGTTCAGTATTTGGTTAGGGTTTCATCTTTTTGGCCCCAAATGCAATGACAGCAATGCAGGCAGACCAGACATGAGCATGCTCTGTTGCATTCCAGGGCAAGAGAATCATAGGGATGAAGGGGAGAGAGACCCCCCCACCTTTGAGAGAGGGACTTTCCATATTATAAAAAACAATCTTCACCTCATCAAAAAAGATAAAGGCAGTGTCTGATGTTACCCATCAGGCTTGCAGAGCTGTGGGCAACATACACATCAGGATCCTGGGGAGAAATAGTGTGGCCACAGTCCCAGCTGTTGAAGGAAACTCACTTTTCCATGGTCTAAATTTATCATCTGTATCTTTGAGAAAATATAGAGGGACAAAGATCTGTTGGCCGAGATTAACAACACTCCATTTAAAAGAAAAGCACCTCCCTAGTGGGACTAATTGCTCCTTTTGGATGTACAAACACTCTACAGGTATGGCACAAGGCACTTCTTGGCTGCCCAGAGTGATTCTTCATTGGCAACACAAAAATACAATTCTGTTTCTGGTGTTTAAGCAAACCAAAAAAAGTCATTGCTTTTCCCAGTCGTGAGTAAGATGAACTTTGGCTTTTGGCTTTTCTACCCTTTCCTAACCCAGCCCAACAAGCCACAGGGATGGAAGCAGCAGGGACAGAGTGGGCAGGCAGGTTGGGATGTGTGCCCAGGCAAAGGTGAAGACTTGACCCTCTGTGGTTTCCTTGACCTCAGGAAAAACAAAGTCCCTTTCCAACTTTCCAGCTTTTGCTGAGAAGAAAAGCAGCTTGTGATGCACCCATGGGAGATACCATATAAGAAGGGATTTTTCAAAAATTTCTCTAGATCTCAGGCACTTGGCAATGTCCCAGTTTGGATGTGGTCCAGGGTGATAGTCCAACCATAGCCACCGTGGCTACACAGCTCAAAATGTGTTCAGCAGCCTAGAAACCCAAGCTGCTTTCTATCTTCTTTTTTTTCCCCTAACATGGCAAGACCAGAAACACTGCTTAAACTCAAAGGAACAGGAGCATGTTAGGTCACTTCTAGTGTATTTGCAGAGAAAACAAAGCATGAAGCTTCAAAGAGGTCTGGGCTGGGTGTGTGGGATGCTCCAGTGCCAAGGATGCAGCCCTGCACTGCACCCTCCTGGGTTCACATCCACCTGTGAGACTTTGCCTCAGCAGCTCCTCTCCCTGTGTGGTGAAAGTCCAGGTTGAGGCTCGGTCTCTCTGCTGGATTTGTATTTGCACACTAGGTTTTTTTGGCTTGCTTAATTTACTGTTGCAGCTGATATTTAGGAAACAGAACAGTGGACAGAGTGGGCAGAAACCTGCAGCCTGTAATGATGAAAGGGATTTTTCCAGGGAAAACCTGTCCTGCTCAAAGATCAGCATGATAAGAACAGCAGCTCTGTGCTCGAAGCAGGGGAACAATCCAGCTGTTAAAAGGAGCAAAGCCCGATGTGTGGTCAGAACAGGGAGTCTGGCATCCCCTCGGCTCTGAGGTCAGCCTGTCTCTATCAGTCCACTCTGTCATCGTGCAGGGATCTCCTGGGTGTGAGTACTGGCTTTGCTTTTGGACCTGGATTACACTGCTGTCAGCTTGGGAACCTGCCCCTTGGCAGACTCTCAGGGATGCAGGGCCCTCCACGTGTGCCCAGGGAGGCAGAGGGGTATTTCTCCTGCTCCCAAGGCTCACTCAGCAGCCTGTGGCCAGCAGGACAGACCTCAAGATGAACTAGCACAGAAGTGCCATCACCGGCCACACCACACTGGGACCACTTTCACCCAAGCGCCAACTCCCTGCTGCCTAAACCAACTCTCCCGTTTGCTGGAGCCCTGGGGAGAAGTTGCTTCAGGCATAATAATTCCTCTGGAGGCACATGCTGCTTTTCCAGGCTTTGATGCTGACAGACAGTGACAGCAGAATCTGACCAATAACAAATATAATCCTTGTTTGTGTTGCTGTAAAGAATTCAACAGTAGGTGGAAGCCTTGGAAATCCTTTGAGAGGTTTCTTCCTACCAAGTCCTAACTCCCAGTAGAGAGGCAGAGTTCAGCACTGCCATAAAACACATCTTTCAGCACTAATGATGCTTCAGCTGTCAGGATTGAAGTTTGTATTTAAAGACTTTATATTTACCTCTGGTGGAAAAACTGCTACATTTTAAACAATAGAACTCTGTTTCATAAAGGTCACAGTTCTGGTCACATTTACCAACTGCTCTTTGAAACTGATGGAAAAAGTATCTTTATATGTCACTAATTTTATTTTTTTTTCAAGTTTTTCAGACTTTTTTTTTTTTTAATCTCAGTGGGTTTGTGCGTCAACTGTTCTGGGCAATCAGCTACGTCTTGTTGACATTGTTAATAGGCTTTCTGACTTGGCTGCTCAGCTGTGTTCTGAAATAACTCCATCAGACTCACAGCAAGTCAGGAACAAAATGGAAAGTTTAGAAGAGAGAAAGCTGGAAATTAATTTCCAGAGCTGTGTGGTTATTTCTAAGTCTGAGCAGCATGCAAAAATTCTTGGTAAGATTTTTGGAGACAATTCCCTGCTATTTTCAAAAGTTCTATGTTTGTGGGAATCCAGACTCTTGCAGATTTTCAGCAAGAGACCAAAGTGAAGATATACCAGGAGATGGGATTCATGAGTGAGGAATATTTTACCTTAGGATGGCTGCACTGGCTCCTGCTCACTGTTTCTTTGTCTTTTGCAGACAGTTCAGCTGCTTGCAAAGTACCTGTTTCTAGTGCTATAGCCTGGCTGATTAAGGAAAACCTGGATGGATTTGGGCTTCTCAATCCTTCAAGCTATGCACGGAGAAAGTTTGGCTGCTCCTCTACAGGCAGAAAAGCTGCCCATGCCACAGCTACAGAAATTATTGAGAGGGTGAGTTAACCCTGCCCTGGCTTCAAAGAAGCCAGGGAACATCTTCCTGCTCTACACTCCTCTCTGCAATACAGCCACACCCTGAAACTCAGAAGGGCTGCTAGTGCATACAGATCCCTTAAATAAGGTGTTAGAGGCAGTGAACAGCATGGCACACTTGGTCTGACAATACTTTTGATAAAAGGGCACTGGGCTCCTGAATCTCTCAGTCACTTTTAGAAACTTGCCCTTCAGCTGTTCATTTTCCTCAGCCTCCCTACTTACTCCTGGCTGGGCTCACAGAAGATGTGTCTGTGCATCAGAGCAGGCCTTTCTCCCATCTCCTGGTTGTGCTGTGCCTTGCTATGGTATACAAACATCCAGCTGCTTGCAAGAGCTGGGGAACCTGTTTAAATCCTTTTTTCCTTGGGGTGACAGTCTCCACTCCTTTCAGGAAGTGGGGTGACTGCAGTGCTGTAATAGGGCAGCTCTCACTCAGATGAGCTGTTGGAGCAAGCTGTGATGTACTGGTACAAATAACCACCTCCTCTACATTTCAGCTCTGAAAGAGATCTGGCCTGGGGTGGGCTGGGCTGACCAGACGCTGGCTCTGCAGTCGGTCTTCCCTTTGCAGGGACCAAAATAGCTCTGAAGCTTACAGTGACTCTCACCTATGTGCTAGACGAGACCTACAGAGCTCACAAGGCATCATTCTGCTATGGGTAACAGGGTCCTTTGTCATCTTGATTTCATCTAAACTCAAGCCAAAAATAGATATGCTCAGGGAAAAAAAACCAAAACCAAACCCCAAAATAAAATCCAGATCATGAATGTCAGGAACGTCGCATAGTACAAGCCAGCCTCTCACTGATCAAAACCATCCTGTGCCCAGCAAGCCTCCTCCCAGCCAGTTCAGCCTCGCCCCAGAGCTGTTCTGCAGCCATGAATATTCAGTTGCCACCGAGCAAGGCCCAGGCAGAGCGAAGGCCGCGGCCTCCCGGGGGTCGCGCGGTTGCCAGCGGCGGGGCGGATCAGAGGCTCTCGCTGTACATGACGCACGGGTTGGTTTCCTCGCAGAGTTCCAGCTGCACGCTGGAAGCAAACCAGCGCTTGGCACAACCCAAGCTGTAGTTGAGGGTGGTCCGGTAAATGTTCTTGGCACGCTTAGGGAAAATGATGGTCGTGCTCTGAAACCTCACCGGCTTCTGGCGGGGCTCGAAGATCAGCTGGGACTTGTAGTTCCGCCAGGTGCAGTTGGGAGCAGCGATGATGGTCTCGCTGTAGGTGGTGACGGTGGGGATGGGGCCGTAGAAGATGTCATCCCGATAGTGCTTCTCCGAGTCGTACTTCACCTCGGAATTGCACCTACGGAGGACAGACAGCAAGGTATGAGGAGCACAGCCCAGGCAGCAAAGGAGGAAAGACAGGCAGGACTCTTCTCTAACCCTTCGAAGCTGGCAGCATTTGCCACCTCTTACTGCACAGACACTGGGGCAGATGCCAACTCCACAATCCAAAGCCTGGATGAGCCTTCCTAGAAGAGTACTCTGTCCTGCTGGGGAATCTTGTTGGAACCCCACTGTGAATCCATCCTGGCATTTCTGCAGTGTGGTCATACCAGGGCAGAAAACACCTTTGTTGCACAGGCTGCAAGCAATGTTCTTCTTCCTCTGGTTTTCCTCATGGGTCCCACTGGGGCCTCAGCTCAGCCCTGAGAGCTACACTGGAGGCAGACAAACACCCTGTAATGGACCTGTCAAGGCTGTTCGTCTTTATTCTCTATACCACCTTGCTGTCATTGAACAAAGATGCCCAAACCAGCTAAAATCTGAGTGCTGGGAGATGAGGTTGCTTGTTGGAGCCTACAAAAAAATACAAGCAGTGCTGAAAGAGCAGGTAAAGCAAATGGATATTGTGGGCTATGGCTGCCCAGCCACTGGTGTCAAAAAGAACTGGCCACCTGAACTGCCAATAGATGAACCGCAAAAGGTAAGATGTCACGGCCCTGCCTTTTTTCTGCAGTCATCCAGAAAGGATGTGCAGACACCGGGCCAGAAAAAGGGCTTTTTCTGCAATCCCTAGCCATGGAGAACAGCAGGATTTCCACTGGTTTTCCCTGCTCCCCAAATGCTCCTCCAGCAATCAGCAGCCAAGGAATGTGCAGCTCCACGTAAAAAAGATTAAAAGCTGGGTGTGTGCTTGTCATTACCTCCACCCAGAGGGGGGCTGACTGATTGTGCAGCACGTGTAATCTGAGCTGCTGTAATGTATTTTGCACAGCTAGGGTGTAAGCAAGTCATTCAGCACACATAAAACAAGACTCCGATGTAATCACCATAAAAACATGCCTGCTGGCAGTTCCTCAGCCAGCAGCTATTTACTGGGGTACATTTCCAGAGAGACTTTTGCGTAGGTTTGAGGGGGTTTACAATCCTCCCACTGTCCCTGCCCCAAGCTGTGTGTAAGTATTCCATGCTGTTTGCAGGGTACATTCCACATCAGCAAAAGAGCAAAAGAAGAGCAAAGACCAACATTTATCCATCGGCCACAGCACCAGCCCCACAGGAGGGCAGAACATCTCCGTCACTGGCTTGAGGGACCATCTCCCCACACGGAGGAGCTCATTCAGTCTCTGTGGGATGTCTAATGTTGGTTTCTCTGTGGCAAGAGTGAACAAAAACAGGTGGCAATTAGAAGGGTATTGCTTCTTCTGAAGATACAAGTCATGTGGGAACAGTATGAAGACCATCAGATTACTTAGTGGAAGCCATCAAGCCCACAGACGGTAATGGTTTTCTCTCATAGCCTTGGATTTTAGCTGGCCTTGGAAGGAAAGCTGCCTTCTGTTAAAACTCCCTCCAGTTCTTGCCTCCTCCCCTCTGCCTGTGCTGCTATCGGTGGCTTTAACTCAGGAATTACCCTCCCATCTGTCCTTCCCTTTCCACCAAAATAACCATGACTCCAATTTGTAAACACATTTTAATTTTTGGCAGAAGCACCAGAAAAAAGACAGAAATCCCCATCTACCCACCCAATCCCATCTGTACCTGATTTCCTGCACGGGCTCAGGGTTGACCTCAATGCTTTCTCCAAAAAACACTGGGTACATTCGAGGCCTTATCTCTGGCATGGACGGGTTCAGGAGCAGATAAGGCATCTGCAGGGAAGGAGAACACAGCAAGTGTTGGGACACGACAGATGGGGCTGGCACAGTTCATAACGTGCTGTGGCTGGCAGCTGAGCAGCCTAACACACCTGGACTGTCCTCGCCTACCAACGCCTCCCTCTGCCCCAGCACACCTCCCAGGTACGTGACTGTGCCCACATCTCTGTCACTTCATGCTGCAGTATCTGTTTGTCAAAATTTAACCTTGCCTTTCCTTCTTCCTTTCTTGTTTCTCATAGGAATTGCAATTGTTTTCTTTAGCTCTGATATTGCCTTTACTGCTTACTGTTTCTAAAACTTAAGAAGTCAAGTCTTAGAAAGTCAAAGTCAAATCAAGACTTTGAGTAAAGTGATTCAAAATGTGTCAGCATGGAAAAGTGCTCCATGCCTGACCTAACAGCAATAGGGCCTAAAGCTTCTGACTTGAAGGATGTAGGTCTACTGAAGTGAGACGTGTATATGTATTTTTATAGATATACATACAAATGTGTACATAAAATCATGTATCCCTTGCAACAATCCAGCAGAGGAAGTGATAGACTTGTTGTTCCTGAAGTCTACGTGCCAAAAATGTCTCTTGTGCTCCAAAGGACATTCTTGTTAACCATAAAACTGAGGGTGGGGTGAGACACTGGGGCACCTTGTGGCCTCTGCAATGCAGGAAGCCAGTTGCAAGCCAGGACTTTATAATGAATGGAGCAGCTCCAACTCTGGACACCAAAAACTGGATTTTTAAGACTGATTGCACCATGAACTTACTCTGACAAATTGTCACAGGCCAGCCTAGGCTCCCCTGCCCACCATTAAATTACTAATCCCACTTCTCTATACTGGAGTGCCCCTAAACACCAGTTCCCACATATGGAGATCCTGTGTCTGGTGCCTGGACCAAACCCAGCAGCTAATTCAGCCTAATCCTGCCCTCCTGGAAAAATGTCACTGCAGGTTTCAGTCTCTGCCACTACTTTTCTGTCAGCAGATATTTATGACGCACAGGGACACAGGATCTCTTTAAAGGAGATGGCTGGCAGCCTCTGTGCAGGGTCTGTAGATGGCTAGTTGAGTCTGCTTTCCTCTGCTGGTTTGGGCCTTCTGCCTCAGGCTAAGACAAAAAATGTCACTGCTCCATCTGAATTTGCCAAATTCTGCGTCCCAAAGCCACAAATATGTTTCTTCTTTTCGTACTGAAATACCCCTGCATTTTGAAACTGTGTAAAGTTGTACCATAAAGTAAAATGGCCAACTCCTCTTTGTGATTGAATATTTCTGTTCCATTGTCAAAACAGAACAGTATCTGCATAGTTATGGAAGGAAAAAAGAAACAAAATATATATGTTCACCCTCCCTAGCAAACACTGGCCAAAAGGCGAAGTTCATTCCTGAATTGCTTTCAACACTCTTGACAGGGGAGGGCAAGGGCAGTCTTTCTGGTCATAAATAAAGCTCTTTGCTTCTGAAATGTGAATTGTTTACATCAGACAAGCCTCAGTTCACAAGGGTGCAGATGTCCAGCTTGTAACAGTCTGCACATGGCCAGAGCTCTTTCTAAAGACATTTTGTACATTAGAAGAGGTTCATTTTGGGTGCAGGAGTCAAACACCATTTGCACATGCACGTGAGCTTTGTGAACAGCAGGCAGGCCGCCCTTTGGGGGTTCACCTGCAGAGGGATGTGGATTGAATGAACTGGTGAAGGAAACAAGGCTTGGGGATACGTGTCCCTCCTTTAAAGAAGCAATTTCAAAGAAGTGCTTCCAGGCAAACAAGCCTTCACACTTCTTGCTAACAAATGCTGACACTAAGTGTGCTCCAACCATCCCCAGGATGCAGGAGATGTTATGAAGTCTTTCCTGTGGCTTAGCAGGAACATTGCTGGGGCATCTGGCCCCCAGCGTGTGCATGGGAAAAGCCTTCCCAGCCCGCTGAGAGCCGGGAGTGCCACTCGGTCAGAGCATGGGCAGGGCAGCAATCGCGTCTGTGGAAAGCACAAGTCCCACAGCAGGGAACAGGAAACAAGAACACGCTGCAGAAACACCACCAGTGTGCACGGAGAGACGGAGGCGCTGGCATGCATCACCGACGTCAATCGGAGTCAAAAATTTGCTGCTGAACTTGGTGAGAACAGGATTAAGTGTTCTCCAGGTTAGTTCTGGATGGGGCGGTGATGAGAGTATTTCCATTGTGGGTTACAGTTAACCTGCTCTGGGCAGGGAAGGGTGGCAAAAGGCATTTCACATGCTGTAGACAAGCACCAACCTCAGACCTGCAAGCTTGGCTTAGTTTAGAAAGCTGGAACAACTGTGAACATTGGGCAGGCCAAAGCCAGGATTTCTACTGCCTGTCGAGACCATTACAGACTCAGACCTCTCTTCTGTGAGCTGCTGCTGAAGTAACCTGGAGTTCTGCACATGGAATATGTAAATAACTTACAAAGCATGGCCTAAAAATAGAGATCTCTAAGACCCTGCAGGCTGCTCACCAAACAGCAACTGATTTGCTTGCACAGCATGAAGGGGTCACTAAACAGCAACCACAGGTTTCACACAGCAGCCACTGAAAGGCACTTCAGGTGACATTTTGTTTTCCCTCCAGTAATGTTCTGAAATGTCGGCTCCTGCAAGTCACCTGGAGCTGGGAAGCAAGGAACAGGGGATATGAGCTTTCCAAAAGATTTGTCTTTGGGCCTGAAATGTTATATGCTTGGCACATGTCAAAAGCTGGCTTTTTGGCAAGAGTTTGACACCAACTCCTTCCAATCTGCTTTAAGGAAGAAAAAAAAAAAAAGTTCTGCCTGTCAAAAAAATACTGACTCAATTATTTTTCCTTATGAACAGGAATGGCTGAAAGAAGAGGAGCACTGGACTGTTGTGCTCCCTTGAGAAAATGAGGATCCCTGGCTCGTTTCTAGGAATCACTTGGTGATCTCCAGACACTCCACAAATAAGGTAGGTTTCTGTTATCCTGCACTATGGATAGCCTGGCAGGGAGCAGAGCTTGCTGCACACTCTTGGGGGTCACTGATGGTGAGGAGGAGAAGCCCACATGACTTTAGACCAGTGTGTCCACGAGTAATCCATAGTTGAGGTCTGTCTATCCAAGGGTTGCTGTGCTGGAATGCTGCAGTGGGAACCTGATTCATCTGTCCCCAGTTACTGGAGCTGTGCTGGTACTTACCAGATGCAGCTTTGCAAAAGACACCACAACCCTGTCATCTTTAAGGAAGAAGGAGTCTGGTAGGCAAGGAAGTTTGAGAAGATAAAATGAAAGATACCAGAGATATCAAAAAAGCAACTCCTATCAAGTTTACAACTTGATCCAAGGTGAATATTAGGCAGTAAATGAGCTATTATTTTTATTTCTCTTCCAGTACATCATTTGTGTCAACCAGCAAAGAGTTACAGTACTATTAAAAAGCTGAAGAGCTTTCTTGTTTGGCTGCATTTTTCCCTCTGCCTTAACTCTGATGCCTTTCAGGCATGTAACGGCCTGGGTAGCTAAACTCTGCTTTTTGCTAGTAGCAGATAGATAAACACAGATAAAATTGGTTGCTGAACGGAATTAAATCTACAGCTCAACGACAGCATTGACTGTTCCTCAGCTGCCAAATTCCAGGCAGCAAAGCAAGAAAAAGGAAAGGAAATGAACGTGACTTGAAATAAATAAACCCCCAAAACCTTTCCCCGGGGAGCACAAAGAACCAGAACTGACCGACTCCTTTTGCTATGGTGATTATATGGAAGGCACTAAGATGTGGCATTAGATCTCCAGGGACCGTAAGAGGAAACAGCTTTCCAAGTGTCAAGGCCACAAACAGGATACAGCTTCCCAAATTCCCAGCTCCTAACTTAGCTAGGGCATAAGCAAATCTCTCACCACATTTTCCCACTATGGTAACATGTCAGGTCCATGAAAATGTCACTTTACTCAGCTGTTATTTACAGCTATAATGAAAGATCTGGCTGAGTTATTTGACACACATCTACATTCTCCGCTCTAGAAGATAAGCAATATTTGTTTAACAGACCATTTATTTTCCCAATATCTGCACGTATTGCACATTACGAGTAATTTATACTAGAGCCGGATGAGATTATATTGGGAGGTGATAACAGTAAATGCAAACCTCAGGTAGAAAGCAGAGCTTTATTATTTCAAAGAATTACATCCTTCCTGCTTATCTACTTATTTTATTTCAAGTGGGAAATGCTGCTTTGCTTATTGTCCACAGGGTTACATAGGGACACAACAGAAATTCAACAGCTAGAAGACATCTATGTCTTTCATCAGAGCCACACTTTTCAGAGCAGATAATGAGATCCTGGTGCCTGTTTCCCTGATCTGCCCAGAAGGGACATCTGTCAGATGAGGTGAGGCAGATCAAGTGAGGCCCAGAGCCATTCCCTGTCCTTCAGCAAGGAGGAAGAGGAGCGGGTGCATATCCAGAACTGGATGGGGCTGAGGGACAGGCTACAGCCAGGTGGGATTAGCCTTTGCCAGGAGAGGACACAGGCATGGAACTGAAGCTGAGGGAATTCCTGCAGGATCCAGCCCTGTGGGAGTGGCTCAGAAGTGGGTCAGGATGCCAGGCTGCCAACAAGCCCTGAGGCAAACCCTGCTGCGGTGCCAGATGGGTGCCTTGCTCCCCAAACCAGCCTGGGGCTTCCCCAGAGCTGCCTGGACCCACGTGGCCTTGGGAGTCACGTCCCCTGCCTCGTGTGTGGGCTGCAAGCTGGTTCAAGTCAGGGTGCTGGGCTTCCCTCTCACGTGTGCTTTCACTGTAGATGTTGGCAGATATGGAAATTACAAATGGAAAACTTTTGATGGCCATGCTCCACACCCAGTCCCTACAAGACATTCCTGAAGCACTTACAGTGCAGGACAAGATGGTGGCTCTGTGACCCAAGGGGTCTTCAAAATGCTGCATGTCAGGAAGAGATGTTCTAGGTTTCTTGGTTTTGTGTTTGTTTTTTTTTTAATATGAGCCATTAATCCAACAGGGTTGGCACAAATGCTGACTTGGACCATGTTGTTGGGACCCCGTTGTCTGTGACGGCTGTGCCAAGGGGTAACATCTCTTTCTCCGTATTTGAGATGAAGCTGGAATCTCCTCCCACCACCCAAGAGTGATTCTGAATCATTCTTGCTGCTGAATGTAAGTAGAAATTCCATACAGATTCACTGGGATATAGTCCCACAGAAGTCACTGCTCACTGAGGCAGGCTGAGTGCACAAATACTTAAATCTTACAAAGTAAAAGGAAGTCACTGCAGTGGGAAAAGCTTCTTTCACTGTTGGGAAGGAACATAAAATCTGCTGCTTCAAGAAGGCACAATGGATAGTTCTGCAGATGAATGTGAGTTTGATGTCCCCTGATATCCATTAGGAGCTGTGTGATGAATGCAAAGCACTTATTTCAGCACAGTCCAAAAGCAGTTCTTCTAGCCTAAATCTCTATCCCAGGGCAAGAACTCCAGGGAAAACTCTAAGCAGATATGGGTACTTTGATGTCATTTCATTCCCCTGCTTTCAGCAACTGCTTCTTTGTGCATATTATTAGGGATTTATTTTGTTGTACTTCTGTTCCTTTTGACCCAGCTTTACAGATACAGTCTAGAGAATTCAGTAACCCAAGTTGTAAGAATCAATTTAATAATGTTTCAGATTTAAAAGGCAGAACTAGGTAAAAGTCACCTTCTATTTTCCTTAGGATATTTGCACTTAAGCAAAAAACACTTGACAAATTCCCTACATGGACTTTATTTGAAGAAATAAAAGCCAATTTATCCTGCACTACAAGTAAAATGAAAAAAAAAAAAAAAAGCCCTAAATGGTGTTGAACTTGTGGTATTTATGACTCTGGTCCTAAATTGCCTTTCATATTTTCTTGGATCCCAAAGCTGTTCCCAAATTGGCTGGTTAAATGTGAATAAATGGTGCATTGTCTTTGAAACAAAGTTGTGCTTATTAAAGAGCAGAGAGTTTACTTTTTCAGAGTCACAGTTAATAACACAGAGCAGAGAGAGCACAGATTTTACACACAAGAAAGTCTTCGATAAGGGCATGCAATCTCCTTTTAGTCTGCATGAGAAGGGCTGTCCTAAAGCAGAAAAATTTTGTAACATATTTGTGAAGCTGGAGCAAAATGCAGAAGAATGCAACTGGGTTCAGACTGGTGGTTTGATAGTTCTGCAGCAAAGAAAAGTATGATACACTTCACTCTGATCTGGAATGTTGTCTCTTTCACCTGACAGCAATTTATTGTAAATGTACTTACTAGAACCTTGTCTGTTGGTGACTGAGCTTATATATGGTTTTATAGTATTCCAACACAAAGAGTGCAGGTTGTGTTCCTGGCTCCATCACGTTTATAAGCAAAACAAACACTAATATAACAGGCGATTAAAACCAGCATTTCTTGGTGTGCAAATAGCTGCAATTATTGATTTGCCAATTCTGCATGCTCTGATGAACAGCAGAGGAATAGACTTAAACAGAAGCACATTCATGGGTTGCATAACTCCTCATAGATCTGCAAGCCCTTGTAAAATGGCAAAATTAAAGCTAATTAGACACTGCAATTTAGAAGTATGAAGCAAGCAATGCTCTCCATATTTTTCCTGCTTTAATATCAGCTGCAAGTACAGTATTTGCACAGTGGAAATGAGAGGAAGCGAAACTCTCTGTAGTCAAATAGAGTGAAAATTCCTATTTACTTCATTATTTTGCAGTCAACCCAACAGAGTTAAAGAGCAGAGCCCAGCATCACTCCAAATAATACAGTCCAACTGATTTCAGCATTTGGATCCCTGCAACCTTCTGTACCTGTTAAGAGCACGGAATTCCATAAATTCCCAATGTATGGAACCCATACTCTAAGTAGGAGCCCGGGGTTACCCTTGCAATGTGATACAGAATTTGGAAACATCTACAGTGTGAGCTTTTCTGAAGTGTCTAAAATGTTCATGAACGATCAAAACAATTGAAAAACTTAATTTTACTTTATAGAGATCACAGGAATAGCTTTTTTCCCCTGTAGGAGTCAAGCATTAAAACTCTCACTCCTAACAGCCCATGAACTGAAATAAATTTTCTCATGTTTTTTCTTCTTCGATATCTAAGGACTTTCTTGGATGGTGTGGTGGCCAACTGTCATATGACTGGATTGGAGACTGTCACATCCCCATTACAGGGTTTTTGCAGACACCTCCACCCCTGCTGTTTTCTGGTCCAGCAGCCTTCACTCACCTTCCTCCCCCATTTTATTTTACAGACACACAGCAACAGCCTGATCCTGCCAGCCGAATCAGAGGTGCGTGGGTAACTTTGTACAGAAACACTCCCATCGAGATGGCACACACGCCCAGGCATCTGCAGGTAGCACTCCGTATCAGGAACTGCAGCGTTAGCAGGTTTGAGATTTGACTTTCATAATAACACCTCACAACCTTTCCCCTCTGAGGAGTTGTTGTTCATGGGGAAGGTTTTGGCATGTTCAGGAGTAAAAGGCAGTTTTCAGTAACATGCTCAAAAGGCCTTAGAACTTGAGAAAGTGCGTGAGGGTATGTGGAGTCATTGCAAAATGTCTCTCTGGGAAAGAAGTCTTTGAATTGTCACTAAACCATAGGTAGATAAATTTTTCTCATGGAAAGATTTTGCTGCAGTTTTCATTCCATATAGAAGCCAATTAACCACACTGAATACACCTACAAACATCTTTTATAAGTGTTTAAAAAAAATTTTAAAGAGCCCTGGGGAAGAACTTTCATCATCTTTAAAAACCTCCACTACCATTGCTTATGCTCTGAATGTTGTGTTTTAAAAACGAGTTTTATAGCTCAGGGATAGAAATAAACAAATAAAGCAAAATAATAGTCATAATAAATCTACCCAAATCCTACTCCACATTCAACCACTTCACTGGCACTGCATCAGGCTGACCGAGACCTGCAGTGCTCTGCCAGCTGTCTGAGCTTACAAACCACTACCCCCGGCTCCGCTCGGCCGCCAGCAGACAAACCTTTCGGGCAGGCTCATGCCACAAAGCTCCGCTCCAGCAAAGGGCAGAGACACACAGCCCTTCCCAAACCCTGTCCCGCAGAAACTCCCCTGACACGCATTCCTACCCTGCCCCAGCTAAAGGGCACTTTTGTCTTTTTTGTGGGGCTTTTTTCCAGGGCTCCAGCAAACGTGGCTCCATGCTCCTCACAAACCAGATGTGGGATGCCAGGGTGTAATGATGGCTGGGAGCCAGACGCCCCTGCCTCGGTCCGGATGGATGCAGCTCCAACCTGTACCTATCAGGCAGAGCAGCTTCACTGAGAAACAATTACACTTTTCTGTTCCGAAGGTGGCCAGGAGAGTTTGGTTCAGACTTGGATTTCATTCCCACACCGTCGTTAGAATTCACCCAGCCAAACTGCCAGCACTGTGAGCGTATCCAAAAACCCTGCTCGGCACTGGGCCAAGCTCTGCCTGGCACAGCAGCGGCGCTGCCAACACCGGACTGCGGCTGCCACGGGCAGCCCGGAGTGTCCCCGGCCGGCGATGGAGGCACTGCGGGGGAACTCAGCCCAAGCTGCCCAGGCTGTGGTCACAGGCGCCCTCCTGCCTGCCCCCCGCTCCGGGGCTCGGTCAGCCTTTCCCCCGCGGGGCCCGGAGAGGACAGAGCCCGGTGCCCGGGTTTGGCTCTTACCACTTTGCCGTCCTTGGCCTCTCGCCGGTGGCCCGGGGCCGGGGGGTCCGCACCGCCGCTGCCCCCTGCTCGGCCCTCACCGGGCGACAGGGAGTAGAAGGGGGGGCTGGGGCTGGGGGGCAGCCCCGAGTCCGGACTGTCCAGCAAGCCTTCCCGGCTCTTCTCCTTCAGGCTCTCGTCCATCCCTTGCAGCTGGAGGTGACCTACCATGTCTGGGGGACAGCGAGGGGGCCGCGGCGGGAGAAAATCCTCCAGCGCCGCCCGCCGCGGAGGGAGGGAAGGGGAAGGGAGCCCGGGGGGCCCCTCCTGAGTCCCGACCGCCGCTACCAGCCTGCCGGAGCCCGGTGCTGCGCGGGGCAGCGCCAGCATCAGCCAGACCGGGGTGTCCCGGCCGCCTCCCCTCCACCGGCCCTGGCCCTGCCCGCCCGGCCGCCCCCGCCCTCAGGCGTTCCCGGGGAAGGGAAGCGAAGCCCGATCCCCCCGCCCAGCCCCGCGGGGACCGGCCGAGTACGCGCGGCAGCGCCCGGGGCGGCCCCGCCGGCAGGGAGCGCTGGGCGCGGCGGGGGACGGGACAGGGATGCACCGCGCTCGTCCACAGCCTGCGCCGCCCGCCGCCTCTCGGCGGCTTATTTATCCGGAGAGGGTGGGAGGGAGCGGGGGAGCGCCCTCCCCTTCCCCCGGCCCCCCAGCTCTGTCCCGGCCGCGCGGTCCCGGCCGTTTCCCAGGCACGGAGCTCGTTCGGCGCCGCCCGCCCGCCCTCTCCCTCATGAGGGGACGGGGCAGCCCCTGCGCACGTCCGGCCGGAGAGGGGTGTCCTCACACACCTACCCGTGGGTTGTGGCTGTCCTCTCTCAGTCCCTTGCTGCTGTCCGAGTTTTCCTTCAGTTATGGTTCATTTTCCCCTCCCTTCGGATTTTTATTCTCCTTCAATCTCTTCATGCTCCAAGGCTGGGAAAGGGGCCTTGCCACATACAACACACCATCGCAGGGCCACAGCTTCCCTCCACTCATTCCCCTCAGTGCAGTCCCAAGTTTTCCTGCACTCAGAGCTGATTTCCCCCCTCAGTTATGATTTTCATCATCCTTTCACTCTCACACCCCCAAAGCAGCCTTTACCCTCCATGTCGTGGCTAGTGGGCATGAGGGAAGATACTTTCAAGAGCCATCTTCGCTTTGAGGTGGCAAAGGGCAGCCTCACCAAGGCAGCAGGTCGCCATGGCAGCCCTGGCTACCGGGGTACACACACCTGCCATATCCCCTCACGACAGCCCTCACGCCTCCTGTTCCCTCACGCCTCTTTCTTTGGCTCCACAGCTGCTGGTCCACAACCAAGGAGTCGGCCTCCCTATCCCAGCCATCGTGTGGTCAAGGCCTCTAGCTAGGAGGAGCAGTGTATGCCAGAGGCACTGCCAGCACAGAGGGGAACGGACAGTCCATATTAACCCTTGGGCTTCAGAGAAGCAGCAGTGGTTAAACAGGTCAGGCTGGCTGAAGCCAATATGGTCATTTGTTGCACAATAACCGGTTGAGGCTAATGTTACCTTGTCCACAGCCCCTGTGTTTTTCTCATCATATTTTCTCTCTACATTGTCTAGATTGTGAGAAATCTGGTGTAAGCCTACTCATATGGCTCAGCTCAGTGGAGTTTTATTCATGGCAAATAGGTTTCCATAGGAAGCCATTGAAATCCAACTGGCCTTCTCTGGGTCAGTTATTGGCCCAGCACCCAGTGGAATGAGACTGTGTCTGTCTGTGCTACAAATTGGACAAACACAATGCTTGTTGTGGCAACGAATGATTATGTCAGAGTTCTGATACTGTAATTACTGATAAAGGCTTCACACCCAAACCACGAAGATGGTGCAAAGTTGGGTTGAACCTAAAAGTGCCCCCACTGCATCCTCCTGAGGGAGCAGATCCCACTGTAGGGTGGTGAAGCTGGATTTGTTTAGATGTGTTCTTGCTCAAATCAAAAGGAAATTTGGCTAAGGATGCCCAAATCCACCTTTGACTGAAATGAGGGGCCCTCCTCAGTGTGACTGAAGTGATTTGTATGCACCGAGCTGTGCAGAGGAATGTCACTGATTTGTAAATGTCAAACAGGCACCGAGCAGCCCACACACGAACCTCAGTGAATTCTTACCTCTGACCCGCTCGTCGGCTCCAGCAGCTGCACAGGCGGATTTAGAGCCCCTTACTGTAAGGGCTCTCATGTCTCACACAGGCTATGGTTGATCTGAAAATGTCAAAGGGGACTGACGGTCAAGATTTCCATAAATTAGTCCCTGGCTTGCTACCTATCACATAATAGGATTCTCTGGCCAGTTAACACTGTGAAGTCAGGCATTCAGCCCAGCAGTTCCCCTGCAGCCCAGTTCCCCTGCCCCTCTCCTGAACTGGCTCAAGACCATGTGTGCAAGGGGAAGGAGTGTCTTCAGAGCTGCTTTCCTCCTTGGAGAAAAAAGGAGCAGGACAAAGAGACACTGGGCAGGGGTGAGTACACTGTCCTTTTGTCCTAGAAAGCCTTGTTTTAGTTTGGGGAACAGTTGAGGGGAGACTGTTTTGTCTGTTTCTTGTTTTGAGAAAACTGCAATCCAATCTTTCCTGGACCTAAATAATGTATATTTCTAAAGGTAGATTTCAGTACACCATGTTTTCAGCTCAGAAGTGGTTGTTATGGTTTAGGACTTGCTGAGCTGAGCATCCCCCAGCACTGGTAGAGATGTTGACTTCACTTATGAGTGGCAAAACTGCTGTTGGTTCTGCAGGGCATGTGTGCACACACCTAATGTTGACATTGTTATTACGGTTGTTGTTGTTCTGCAGCGCATGTGTGTGCTGTGATGGTATTATTGTTATGGTTATGATTAGCAATCTGTTTAAAGTTAGTAGTGGGTTGCTCACCCAAGTTGGAGCTCTCTTGTGTAAAGCACAGGGCAGGCACGTGGTAAGAAATGCTCCTGTCCTGATGGTTGTGATGGAAATGACTCAGACTTTGGTCAGAGTCCTCCTAGAGTCACAGTATGTTCCTCTTGGCCAGTGAAAAATCAGCCTGAAACTGAGTGGAAGATTCAGTGTGCAGACACAGGTAAAATTAGGTCTGGTGAAACAGGATTTAAATATTGCACAGTGCCCTATCGAAGGAGAAAAGGAGCAAAACAACAAATTTTTCAGCTGAGGCCATGTTGCCTTACTGAAACCCTCCTTAGTTCAGCACTTCTTAATTTGCTGGAAGGAATCACTAGGGACTGGTACATTCCTGTGTCTCGGCTTGGGAGAAAGGAAACTGGGCCCTTGTGTGTATGGTGGGACAAGGAGGAAGGAAAAGTCTGGAGGGGAGTTTTCTGAAGCAGCTGAGACAAACAGGTGCAAGCACAGTGGTACAAGGGCAGCAGTGTGAAGGCACAGCCTGGGGGAAAGTGGCCTCCACTACCAGCACTATCTCCAAAGCAAAAACCCTGCCTAGCTGTGAATTTGAGTGTAAAACAACTTTAAATAAGGAGTAGGGAGTCAAGTAGCAGAAAACTAGGGAATATTCCAGCAGGACTGGAATCTGTTAAGATTCACTCTCAGGCAGTGGTGCAATCCTGACAACAACAATTAGAGGGCATTTTGAAGCACACATTTCTCAGAGCTTCTCCAACTTTTTTTTTTCATTGATCTATTTGTTATAAAACACAAAGTACCAGGCCCAGTCCTGAAACAGGTGGGAGGTCATAAGAAAGGAAATGTGTGGATAGTGGGGGCAGGAACCCAGACAGCCCTCCTGATGCAAGCAGCCCTGCTCCTGGATAAAAGCTGGTATCCTTCCTCAAATCCACTGGGATTCAAGCCTCTCCATGCTTTTATGAGTCTTCTGCCTTCTGTTTTCCTAGCTATTCCCTTAGCTAGATTTGAGGACTTTAGGAATCTGCCGTCCCACAGACATGGCAGAGTGTCAGCATCACGTGCTAAGTTTCCTTCCACCGCTGCCAGGCTTGAAAGACAAATACAGTGAGGAAAGAAAGAGACAGGATACAAACACCTACATCAGGACTTTTTCTGAAGCAGGCTGGGTGGCAAAACGGGAAGAATGCTAGGAATGTCCATTCTGGTTCAGTGTTGAACCTGATCCTTAAGAACACCCACAGTGTAACTACAGTCCCAGTAGGAATGGCTCGGGCCACGGTTGGATGTAACTGCTCTCTGGTTCCCTCCACAGAAGAGCAGCCTTCCCTCTCTGCCCTGGGTTCCTGACAACAGTGTTGGAAGGCACCAAAGCAACAAGATCACTGAAGGGAATATGACCACAGAGCAGGACCCAGGTACGTCAGACTCAGACCACCCTTCCCAGCACACTGCGAGTTGTTCACCTCAGCCCAAAATGATTCAGAGCACGAGGGCAGCAAACCACTGCACAGGTCCAGATGTGATACAAAGGGCGGGAAGCATATCCATAGTGCTGGACCTGGAAGCCACATGCCAATAATGATTAATTTTGCAGTGTGGGAGGGTTCAAATCAAAGGAACCATTCTGCCTGGAAAGCAGAGGCTATTTATCAGGAGATAAAATCATCTCCTGATAGGTCCACTTGTTTATTTTTAGGCAGCTCCCTACATCAGAAATTTTTTCAACCTTGACTCCCAGGTCTTGGCTGTCTGCTCCAGTGAAGGCCACAGCCCCCTGAAGCAATGAATGCACCTGCTCTGGCCCTGCTACCCTCACCAGACAAACAGCCCTCCTAGCAGTGACTTGGAACAAACTGTCTGGCAGGAAATGGGAATGAAAAGCACAAAAATCTCCTTTTCTGGGGTCAGGAGTGCCTGTTCTTGGCAATAAATCAAAGGAAGCAAATTTCCTTTGAATAGCCTGGACTTGAACAAAGACGGTCCATCTCCCAGACAAGGCAGTAGACTTTGTGACTGCAGGAAAGAGGGATGATCTTTGAAGAGCATGCACAGGGTTGTATGAGAATGTTGCCTTTTCATATTTGACTGCAGCGTGTAGATTTGTGCCACAATCCAGACAAAAACCCCCAACTGAACACTGTATTACAGAATGAGCAAAGGCTCTGGAGCACAGAAAAATTATCAAGACTTCTGCTGACCCTGCTTGCCTTTGAGTAGGGTGCCACATGATGAGCGTCCAATTGCCTGTGGTGTCCAGTCAGAATTCGCTGATATTGTTACATACCTGAATCAAAACACACCTCCCTGCCTTACTGCCCCAGAGAAGGAGCTGCCTGTTATCCTGTGAAATTTCCTCTGCTTGTCTGTCAGGGCTGCTGTGCTGTAATCTTGGAGGATAATCAACAGCGAAACCGTTCATAAATCACAGCAAACAGAAAAGACGCCGATAGGGTCTTAAATTTCAAGCCTGTGAAGCCATC